TCTCTTCTCTTCTCTTCTCTTCTCTTCTCTTCTCTTCTCTTCTCTTCTCTTCTCTTTTTTTCTTTTTTTTTTTCTTTTATTTTCCCTTCTGTTCTATTCTCTTCTCTTCTGCACCTGCAAAAGCGTATAAGCTTGCCAAAGCCATCACTCTAGTTTATTCACTTCATTGCTCGTATATTGGAGTCCCACAGGCAGCGGCCAAGCTAAATATTGAACTAAATATTTATAAAATATAGCTAAAAATAGCTATAAAAACTTGGATAGATGAAAATTCCTAAAACTGGAAAAGAAATGTACTATCTAGCTGCTTCAACTAAAGCATAACCTGCTAAGCACTACGGTATTGGTGTCGATAAGTTATTGCGTACTATGAAGACAGACTATGAGACTGGCACTACATACATTGTGATGATATTCGTAGTGGTTGTGGTTCTGAAGAAGAGGGGGAATCCGTGTTTTGTCAATGCTCATTTTTGGCTAATGGGAGATTAAAAAATTGTGAAAAAAAAACTGTTTTAAGAAATTCTTGATAAATCTCTCTTTTTGATAGAACACCAGGGGAATTTAGACCAATGTGTTTAAGCGGAAAATGTCCATATATATATTTATTCGTATTCGTATTTACTAAAACCATGTAGTTCGTATCTCTTAAATTAAAAAAAATGTTATTAACCCCGTAAAACCTCAGTTTTCAAACTAACTTGTTATTACCAAAAAAAAAAAGATTGCAGGTTTAAAGTCAGTACTACAAAATTAACATTAAACACTTGAAAAATCACAAAGTTGGGTAACCATATATCTTAGGGTAATCTAAGGGTAATCATATATCATGCAGCGTTTACATAGTTATATGAACATATTAATATACGATATATTAAGTGTTGTTGTCATGGTTTTTATCTATTATAAATCAAATCATGTATATGATATATATGCGTCTATAGCGTTGGTGGTACATATATGAACTTGATTGATGAAATATAACAATTTGATTTCCTGCCAATTTGTGTGTGTTCCCATTAACTTTTAAGCTCAGGCACGACCAAAATGGTACTAATAAAATGAAATTGACATTTGAGATTTGACTGTATGCATAACATATTTTCATAGATATGATTAGAAACAGCTTAAAACTGTCGTGGGTATGATATGATTATAGAAAGAGAATAAAAACTTTTATCATATGACTGTCTGTATAACATGAACCTTTTAAAGCTATATAGTATATATGTTGGTAGTTAGAAACCATTGTCTATTAAAATTATTATCATTTGATTTTGTTGACATTAAATTTGTCATATTATACAGCAGATTTGTAAATATAACATATATTTGATACATGCAATGTGCTTGTTAATTATCCAAAGTTATTATAAGTTCAGGCGTTTTACCTTTGGGTATAGAAGAGTGCACTCTAATAGAGATGTCAAAAATTCATCATGTAAAAAATATTCCACAATATTCATAGATATTTTCATGCTTGTAATATTTCTAATCTAGCGTCACATCTGTTGCGAATATGCAAATTGTGTTTCTATAGAAATTTAAATAAAATTTGTTTTCGTCATGTTAGTGCTGTTGTATAGCAATGCTGTGCTACTATAGCTATTACTACTGCGGCTACTGTTACTGCCACTGCTGCTTCTGTTGCAGTTGGAGGTTTCATAATATCAAATAATATTTTAATTAAATTTAAAACTTAACTTTATCAAAGCCATTTTGGTACGTTGGCAGTCAGTTGATAGTTGCCAGCCGGTTGTTGGTAGTTGGCAGTATGTGTAGCAAGTATGTATGCCACTCCACCAATAGTAGTTCCAATGAATGCTCATGTAACCGAACCACAATTATATACGCACTTATGGTATCGTTCGACCGGAAGTTAAATGCCAAAAATGCATCAGTCCTGCATTCAAAAAATTTCCCATGCAAATTTAAATGTCAACACAAAATGGAAACTGAACCCAGAAACCTCAATTTATTTAGTAATAGCGGCAGTTTGGATTTCATGTTAAATAAAATTTGCGGAGAAAATAGAGTAATGAAAAGTTCAAACAAACGTCATTTGCACAAAATAGCAATTTATGCGAAAGTTAAAATTTCTTGTAAATTTGTTTACATTAAAGTTTTAATTTTTTAATTTCATTTCATGGTTTCCTCTATGGAAAATTTCGTTTAGGAAACATTTCGACAAACTTCTGCATACTCGTATATAATTCATATGAAGCTCATTTATGATTTAATATAAATTTTTGATACGAATAAAAATCAATTTATTAATTTATTAAATTTACTTAAATTCTAAATTTATTAATATTTAGAGTGCTCTTTCCAAAGTATTCATAAATATTTTTAGGTTAGGTTAGGTTAGGTTAAGTTGTGCACTAAAGTTCTCAATATTGGATTAAATTGCGGCATAATGTACCTTCTGCTCAAAAAGTATCCGGATTTGTTGTTTGTTAAATACTCCTTAAGTAATATACCTTTTTTGTTATGTTGGTACACCCTTTCTTGTCATATGGTACAAATTTGAGCGTGAGACTACCTCAAGTACATTTAGCGATCTTTACTATGGAAAATTCTTGTTGTACGCGATTTTTTGACCAAACACGGCACAACTGTCATCGCTCAGGCACCATATTCGCCAGATCTGGATCCGTGCGACTTTTTCCTGTTCCCGAAACTCAAATTACCCCTTCGTGGTAAGCGTTTTGAGTCGATCGAATCGGTAAAAGAAAATTCGATGAAGGAACTAACAGCCATACCTTCATGGGCCTATGAAAAGTATATGGAAGATTGGGTTAAGCGTTGGCATATGTGTATCGCTTCAGAAGAAGCTTATTTTGAAGGAGATAAAATAAATTTAAAATAAAATTTAAATTTGTGTGTTTTATTTACAAAATCCTTTTTGAGCAGAAGGTTTACTTGATTATTTAATGTTTACTTGAGTTCAAATAATGGTTCATTGTAATGCGATAGATAAGCTTCATTTTTTTATTTATTTTATTTTATTATAATTAATTACAAAATATAAAATCTTATAACTAAGACCAGAAAAACGAGCGCTAGCTGCCAGGGCCTTCAGCTCGGATATTATAAATTAAATTTTATTCACTAGGTTACAGGCTTTAATATATTTATAAATTAAAAGTATGTTTTCAATAGTAATTGTTTTTAATAGGCTAGTAGGTAAGATATTAGGAAAGATATTACTACGAATAGAATTAAAAGAAGGACAATCGTTAAGTATATGATCTATGGATGGTGTGCTATTACAAAATGGACAGTTTGATGGCTGATCGCCGCTCAAAAGATGTTCATGAAAAAGCTTTGAATGTCCCATACGCAATCGGATAAAAATCTTACATTGTTGACGAGTGCATGATTGTGGGTATATAGCTTTTAAACCACTGGTATTGATCGACTTGTAGCGATGGTTGTACACTGACCATTCCATAGCCCATTCGTCTTCCATATGTTTGTTTATAAAATTTAAAACGTCTTTTCTTTCGGATGTCTGGAAAAAGAATAAGGGATAAGCTTCATAAACCACATCTAAACTACCAAATAACCTATGTGACTGAAATTATCTGTAAAAGTAAACCTACAATGGAACCAGTTATAGTTGTAAGCTTGGTGATGCCAATATCTGAAAATTGAATTGTGAAGAGCTCGTATTAATAAGATGTGGACAAGCGTATCCAACTTGTTTAGAGAACCTTCGGCACATTTAAAGTGTACAAGAGGTACGCAGCAGCCTTATTAGATAAAGCATATCGACTTTAGAGTAGCAGGGGTTCTGTCAAGAGATTTTGCTCCGTGTCTAATATTCCTTCGACATCCGTGCGCTTTGGTTTTTTAGACCATGATAGACCATATTCTCACTATTTATGCTGATTAAGTCTGTAACTCCTTTTATAATATATGAGATATAGCACACCTTGTTTAATGGTTCATTAAATCCAACTCGACTTGGGAGTAGAGGACGAAACATTAAATTTGATAAAGGATCATATTTTGTTGTAGAGTTCTCCAAATTCAAAATCTTTGTATTTTTACTTAAAGCTATTGTAGTTTTAGAAATCTTCTAACTATTGCGCGAATATCCAGTTATGCAGATTTTTATATGAAGCAGATCAGAAAGTTCTTCAGTTATTAATACGATGATTTAGCAAATGTGTTTACATTGTGTACTGCTGCAATTTGACGGGCAATGGAGAGTGTTTGATGATTCTTGTAGAATAAGTATTTTGAATATTATTAAGTGGATAGCAAAATTATAATATTTATTATTTTGTCTCTGTTTTGTCTACTGGCGTTTGCTATTATAAGGTATAGTAGTAGTAGTAGCATCTATCTTTTTGCTTGGCTGTAAAGTGTAGATTCTGCGAAGAGAATGAGGAATCAGCCACACATGTGCTGTTAGAATGCCCTGCGCTATTGCATATACGGGATTTCTATAAATGTACTCACCGTAAAGGTATACGCCGTACGGAAGAGGTGATTAAACTTTGTTAAGTTAGTTCTATATTACTTTGGATCAAAGCAATAGGGCTTTAAGAGACTTCAAGAGTCGCAGTGCAATATCCTATAACAATAATAAAAATAATTCTTTTGCTCATATCTATCTTCCCAAATTACTGGAATAAAGTTTCCACATTGCTGTGGAAATAATTTCCATTCATTCCTAAGAGGTGCTTTCTACCTACTACAAAAAAAGAAGCGGGGTGTATTTTATTCAATTTATTTTTTATTTGTTAATTCACTTCTATTTTTAAAAATTAAATAGAATCATTTTGTAATGTGTACCAATTAACATTTGAAATGTACTATTACTCGCCGAAACGATTATTGCTATTGTTTCTAGTCTGCCTCCATTTAGCAGTCCATTAAAAATTCCT